GTGTGTGTGTGTGTTGTTCTGAGTGTGCATACGTAGATGTGGTGAGCATGAGGAGACCAGAGGACTCCCTCTGGCATCATCCTCCGGATGGCATCTATCTTCTTTTTTTTTTTTTTTTTTTTTTTTTTTTTTTTTTTTTTTTTTGGTTTTTCGAGACAGGGTTTCTCTGTGTAGCTTTGCGCCTTTCCTGGAACTCACTTGGTAGTCCAGGCTGGCCTCGAACTCACAGAGATCCGCCTGGCTCTGCCTCCCGAGTGCTGGGGTTAAAGGCGTGCGCCACCACCGCCCGGCCGGCATCTATCTTCTTAAAGACAAGTTTCTTAATGGACCAGGCCTCATCAACTGTGCAGACCTCCTGGCCAGGAAGCCCTGTGGCTCCACCTGTCTTTTCCTGTTTGGCACTAGATTTACCATCACATGCCAGAATGTGCTGCATGTTTACCAGGGTTCTCAGATTGACCTCAGGACCTCCAAGCTCTACCATCAGCCCAGGATCTCTGTATTCTGAGCCCAGAATAGTTCCCTGATGGTCTGAATCTGGAGCAAAAAAGTCTATAACATTGAAAGAATCTCCCTCCTTCTCTCTCTATTTGAGTGTACACTTATACACGTATTGAATAGAGGACATTTATATAACAAGATATTATGTGGAATTATAATTTAGAAAGAAAGAGCATGTCTGCTCCTGTACTGTGAACTTTTTCTGTGTTCTGCAGCCATTCCCAAATAAACACACAGTGGCTTATATTAATTACACACTGCTTGGGTTATGGCTCAGGCTACTTACTACATAGCTCTTTCATCTTAAAAGAACCCATTTCTAATCATCTTTATATCACCCCATGCCTCATGGCTTTACCTGTGTTCCATTACATCTTGCTAAAACCCTCCCACCACCAGCCCCCGCCCCCACAATCCTCAGCTTCCCCCTGACTCCACATTTCTTCTCCCTGTATCTTTGCTTGGATTTCCAACATGGCTCTTATCCTGTATTGCCAAACAGCTTCTTCATTAACCAACGGTAGCACCACATCTTCACAGCATACAGAAAGACCATGCCACAGCACACACCTAACTGATTGGTCCATGTGGGGACAAGGTGACAACAACAATCTGCTTTGTTCCCAGCTTCCCTTGCTAGCTCTTGGCCATCAAATGCCCAGACATAGACCAGTGACCATTCTCCGTCCAGTGGGTTAAAGGCAAAGCTGATTGGCAGGTAGGACTAGATTCACACTGCCATGTTCTCTGGCCTCCCTACTCCCACCTTCTGTTTACATTGCACACTCTTGTGACATGGCACAGGTCAGCTTTGAACTCATCATCCTCCGGCCTTAACCTCCACAATGACAGAGGCAGTCCTTTGTCTCTCTGAGGCAAATATCCTTCACCCTTTTCTTTGTCCCACCCACCCCCCCATATGTCCCTTTTGGGATGATATTTTGGTTGTGCTCTAATAAATAAAGCTCAGACCTGGAGATCAGCGTCTGGAACTAGACACTAGCAACCAGGCAGTGGAGGCACAGGCCTTTAATCCCAGCACTAGGGAGGTGGAGACAGGAAGTGATAAGGCTGGGCAGAGACAGGACTATAAGGCAAGAGGAGACAGGAGATCAGCTCCCCTTTCAGACTGAGGAGTTGGAGAGGTGAGAGGTGGCTGTGGCTTGCTCCTTTGTCTCTCTGATCTTTCAGCATTTACCCCGATATCTGACTCCGGGATTTTATTATTAAGACCAATAAGAACTGGTGCTACACTTTCCCCTTCTCCCTAATCCCCTGTCTCTTTACCAGCACATCCTAGCCCATTCTACCACAGACCTCCCCTTCTCCTCTTCAAAATTACCCCTGCAAGGGCATTGGTGCAGCTTTCTGCCTCCAGCCACTGTAACTTTTCTCCGCTCGTTTAATAAAGGATTTCTCTGTGAAAACAGGTGTTTGAGTTTGTGCCTATTCTAGGGTCCCGAAGAAAGCCCCCATTTTTGGGGTCACCTTCAAGGCAGATATCTATGATTCCAGGCCAGCCTCGTTCACAAAACTAGTTCCAGGACAATGAAGGATACACACAGAAACCCTGTCTCAAAAAAAAAAAATTTTTTTAAAGAAAACCAAACAAATAAACAGAAGCTAAAACCCCTCAGAGTGAGGATGGTACCTGGCAACTGTCATTCTCTGTCTGAGCCCAGAGAGGTGTGAGACAGGATGACCACACCTTCCAGGACAGCCTGAGATACACAGGATGTCCCCATGGGGAACAAAGTCAAGGAAGGAGGAGGAGGATGAAGGGAAATGTTGGGTTCCTCTAAACACTGGGACTGTCACCTGCTCAGCAGCAGGATGGCTCACAGTGTCTGTTAAACAGGCTCATCTTGTTGTACCCAGAGTCCCCAAAGACCATCAAGAGACCAAATCCAATGCAAAGGCAAAGAGTCTTTTTATTGGTGGGAGTTAACTCGGGCCTCTCTGTCCTTCTGACACAGAGGCAGACAGGAGAGATCCTGAATTGCAATGGGGCAGAGTTTTATACAGGCTAAAGTAATGGGGGGTCTTGGGGTCCACAGACTACATAGGAGCAGATTGGGATTGGTTTATGTGGGTGGTAATCATGTTAGTAACTTTTAACTGGCTAGGGTTAGGTGGAGGTTACAGTTACCTTTGGGGGAAGGCCTGGAAAAGTCCCAGGCTTTTTCATTGAGCTGCAACAGAGGCTTTCTGGCCTAGCATTTACTGACTATGGGGGCTAGACAGTGGCCCAGGCTTGGTGCCTCCTGTCTCCCTGTCCCTGCTGACAGGGCATTATGATTGTCTTTTGTTCGTGGCCCTCCCAGAAACTGCTTGCTCAGGAAACTGAAATTGAGGCCTGATCTCTGAGAGAAGACTGAGCAGTCTGTTGTGGTGGCTGCTTGGTCCTCTCAATCTCTTAGGACCATGGGAGCCAACAGCTGGGACTCCTTCACTGCATCAGCTGGAAACTTCTGCACAGACATAGAGGGCAATCACATCCATGGAGGGTCCCAAGGCCACCTTTCCCCAACTTCTCAGATTCCACTTCTCTGCACAGCCCAGTACTCACTAATCCCTCACTCAGGCTCTATTCCAGGGCCTGGACCCCATCCCCACCCTTCCTTGGGATCAGGATTCTACAAATCCAGGAGGAAGAGGCAAGTGGACATCTGGGAGTGATAATCTAGTCTGGTCTACAGAACAAGGCCCAAGGTAACTGTGGCCACAGAGTGCAACCCTGTCTCAACTTGCTACACACACACACACACACACACACACACACACACACACACACACACAAACACAAACACACTGAAAATCAAAGGAGAAGACAAGCTGAGCATCAGCATCCATCTCCCTCTGCTTCCTGACTGCAGATGGAATGTGACAAGCCACCTCACACTTCTGTTCCCACGCTTTCTCTGTTGTATCCCCAATTGTGAGTCAAAATGGACCCTTTCTTCCCTCCTGAAGTCGCCTCTGGATGACATATTGTGTCAGCAACGGGAAGAGAAACAAACAGAAGTCACCGAGCCAATGTGAAACACCCAGCCCTGCCTTTCCACACACAGCCATCCCCTGCTCCAGAACACACACAGTGGGAGCCTCTGAGGTAGACCACAGCTGTGCTGGGCAGCCCTAGCCCTCACCTGAGGCAGCACTTGTGCAGAAAAGCATGATTTACACAGAGGAAGAATGAGGAGAAGGCACGAGAAACTGGGCCAAGCCTGTGGGGACAAGTGTAATTCCAGGTCAGTGTCCATCTGAGGGGACAAGTGTAATTCCAGGTCAGTGTCCATCTGAGGGGACAAGTGTAATTTCAGGTCAGTGTCCATCTGAGGGGATGGCAGATGGAACAATTGTTACAGCATGAGGACCTGAGTTCAGATGCAGCACCCCTGTGAAACACTGGTGTGGGGCACACACCTGTCATCCATGCTCTGGAGAGAAACACACAGAAGGAGCCTGAAGCGTGTTGGTCAGCCAAGCAGGCCTCACAGGTGAGTGCTAAAGAGACCCTGTCTCAGGAAACAGTGGGAGATTGGATTGATAGGGACACCTCACATGGTCCTTGGACACACACACACACACACACACACACACACACACACACACACACTGCATCTCAATGAACTCAGCCAGGCTATACTTCTCCATGAGCTGACTGACTTACATGTTACCATAGTACCACAGTGACTTCTCGCCAGGGGACGGTGGTTATCAGTACCCAGGCTTATCTTCTGCAAGCAGGCGGCAGACCTGTCAGGGCCACAGACTCTCAGTTATTTCAGAGAAGAGCTCTGGGACAAGAATATCTTAGGGAGGGAGGGTATCAGAGGGAGCCAGGCTGGTGGCAGCCTGGGGCAGTCCCTGCTTGCCCCTCCCCCAAAAGCCAGCAGCTCTGGCACTAATATCCTAGTATTAACCTTCAGTCTGTTTCCAGTCACCACAGATGCAGAGGTCAAGGCAGACCCTGAAATGACTCCATCCCAGTCCAGCTCAGGGGTCCAGTAACTTTATTGGGGTCCCATGTTCATGGGTGACTCATCAGCTGCATCCACAGGAATTACACCACAACAGTGTGCTGACTCATGACAGCTGCATCCAGGAGGTCCCCTGGGCGGGTTTGCACCCAGGTCCATGGAGGAGTTTTCTCTCCCCTTGTATCCCCAGCACTAGTTCCCTGAGGCTGAGGAGGGCACTCAAGGCTTAGAGCTCCCTGGTTCTCCTTCTTCCATCAGGCCAAAGGTGCTTCAGTCAGAGGGGTAACAGAGAATAATAAACAGTCACAAGGTGGTCTGAGCTGTCTACAGATGAACAAATCCAAAACACAGAGAGACTGGGCAACCTTATGCCTAGAAGATGTCTAACAATAGCTTTTCCCAGGAATCCTCAGAAAGACTTGTCTGGTAATTGTTTGAGTCCACTGAATGACTAGGCTGGATATTGCAGGATCCCTCACTGGGACTGGGCTGGTCATTGTTACTTGGGGCCTGGTTTCAGAGCAGGGGCCCTCCCAGAAGGGCCCCTCCCAGCAGAAGCAGCAGGGAGCTGAACCAGCCCAGGTAGAGTGAGATTCCCATCTCTGGTTTCCATAGGGCAACCATTTCAGTGTTGGCCATGCCAGGGATGACACTGTGTGTAACCCAGGACAGAGGCACCAGCAGCAGCAGACCAGCCCCCAGGAACAACACACTTGCCGCCATCTTGATCTTTTTTGCATCATTCACATTTGACACACATAACTTGCATTTATTCCCGATGTTGTATAGCAGCAGACCCAGCCAGGTGATGATGATGCAGATGACCACCAGAACTCGAGACACCTGCAGGTCCTGTGGCACTACCAGGTGTAAATTGTACCGCATGCACTTCACTCTCTTGAGTCCGTTAGCCTCACACAAATTCCACAGGCCCTCCCAAAGGCTGGTCTCTTCAGAAAATTTCATCACACGCCAAAAGGGAAGGCCACAGCTGATAATGACCACTAGGCAGCCCAGCTTGACCACAGAGAAGCTGGCTGCTTCCAGTTCCGGGCGACCCATGGCTCATACTCTGCTGGACACGAGACACAGAGGACAGAGGGGATCTGGCTTCTCAGCTGCAGGATTCGAAGGGCTGAGGATGGAGTTTCAACATGTCCCTAGTGAGCTGTCCCAAGAACCAGCAACAGGTGTGAAGGTGACTATAGGGTCAGACTCGTCACCAACAGGAGGGACCTCAGCAGTTGACACAGCGTCCTGGTGAAAAAGGTTAAGCTGATATGGGATTTGGCAGAGGGTGGGCAGAGGGAGGAGTTTCAGTGCACAAGCCTCATGGGATCAGATCTCTGTACTCTCTTCAATGTGTGTGTGCATATTGATGTGTATGTGCATATTCATGTGTGTGGGTACATGTTTCTCTTGTGCACATGTGAGCACAAGACTGTGTACACAGAGGACAACCTATGTTGTCATCTTCAGGAACCCTATCTACCACCTTTGAGATGAGGTCCCTCAATGGCATCCAGTTCACCAATTAGGCTAAGATAGCTGGCCAGGGACTTCAAAGTCAGGTGACAACCCTCCTAATTCCCTAAGCCATCTATGAGTACTAAATTCTGGGGGATCTGAGGACACAATACAGGAAAGGGACATTGGTCAGCGGCACACCAAACAGAGACCTTCTGTGGTCTGTGCACTGCTATATGTGATATAATATTCCATCTCGTCAAGTTACCAGGATGTAGAGTCAGCATGGAAACAAGCCTCTGGGAATATCTGAGAGAATTCCTAGACTGGGATACTGAGGTGAGAATCCTCACCCCGTGGGCAGCACCATTCTATGGTTTGGGGTCCAGATGAATGGAAAGTAGAAAGTGACTGAGCCCCAGCATCACCTCTCTCTGCATCCTGACTGTGGATACAATGTGACCGCCTGCCTCATGCTCCTGCCCCCGACATCCTCGCCATGATGGACTGCATCCTGGGGGACAAATAAGTCCTTTCTTTGCCAGGTTGTTTTGATTCAGCGTTTTTTGGCAGACAGAAAAGGCAAACTGTCTGGATGGTGGTGCAAACAACTTTAATCCCAGCACTTGGGAAGGAGAGACAGGTATATCTGCGTGAGGTCCAGGCTAGCTTTGTGTACAGATTGATTTATGGACCAGCTAGGACAGAGTAACACTGTCAGAGAGGGTGGGGGAGAAGGAGAGAGATGGAGGGAAAGAGGAAGAGAGAAAGAAAGAGCACTCAGGCACACTAGAACATAGTCTGAGCTGAGTTCAAGGATAAACAGAGACAACTTGTACACAAAGGCCCACATTCTGCTCTCCTGCTGGGTGGAGGAAGCCAGGTCTGCTGCTGGGACTGAACAATTCATTCTCCACTGGGGCCTTTCACAAAGACAGGGCTCCTCCAAACTACAGCATCAGGGAGCTGGCCCAGCCTGAGTAGAGCAAGACACCCTACTCTGCTTTCTGTATGGAGCCCAAGAGAGCATTGGAGCAGCCACAGATGAAGTTGTGTGTTTTCCAGGACATGGATACCATTGGCTGCAGGCCAGCACCAAAATCAAGGCACCCACCCTCCTCACAATCATGACATCATTTCTGTCATTAGGCAGCCATGATGACACTCAACCTCGAACATACACAACAGCAAACCCATTCCATTATACAGATGACCATGAGGACCTGAGACACCTGTGGGCTGAGCTGATGTGACCCAGTAGCCATGGTCTTTATACTGCATGCTACATAGTCTGTAAACCTGGTACATTTGTCATAGACCCCGCCTAACATTAGATTCTACCCTGTCTCACATTCAAGAAATATTGTCACCTTTCACATGGTAGCACACAGCTCCAAGGGCCACCAGCCTGCCCAGTCTGGCCACAGAGATTCTCACCTGCTTCAGGGTCTTGAGAACCACGACCCAGAGTCACTGCAGTTAGGTAAGGGAATTAGTGGGGATCTGGGCTGATCTGCAGGATCCCAGGGACTGATGATGGACATAGCAAGTGTCCAGAGAAAGCCTTCCCATGGAGCCAGAGAGACACAAAAGCAGACAGAGACTCAGTCCACACCAACAATAATTACCTCTGTAGAAGAAGATGTCCGCGGCAGCAGTGTGAGGACAGCAGTTGACAGAGGCATCTGGTGACATAGATTGAGGGAGTCTGAGCTATGACAGGGGGTGGGGCACAGGGTGGAGCTTCAGATCATGTGGCCTCAGAATCAGCCTGTACTAGTTTATGAAAAAACTGTGTGTGCCTGTGTGGTTTTTGTGTGTGTGTGTGTGTGTTGTGTGTGTGTGTGTGTGTGTGTGTGTGTGTGTGTGTGTGTGTGTGTGTGTGTGTGTGTATGCCTAGAAGGAATGTGCATGAGGAGACCAGAGGACTACTTCTGACATCATCCTCAGGATGCCACTATCTCCTTAAAGAGAAGGTTTCTTATTGGAACAGGGCTCATCAATAATGCAAGACCTCCTGGCCAGGAAGCCCTGTGGCTCCCCCTGTCTTTTCCCTTTTACACTAGATTTACCATCACATGCCAGAATGTGCTGCATGTTTACCAGGGTCTCAGATTGATATCAGGTCCTCCAAGGTCTACCCCAAACCTTGGTCTCTGTATTCAGAGCCCAGAACAGCAGAGTCCCCTATATGCCCAATCTACAGCAAAAGACTCCACATTATTAAAAGAAGCTCCTTTCTTCCCTCCATATGGGTGCCCTCATACACACATTATGTATAACTTATTTATATAAATATTTATAGTATAAAATAATAATTGAGTAAAATAGATCCTCCCTACTTCTAATTTTTGACCTAAGTAGAGACAAGTTTGGAAAAACAGACTGCTCTGTCCCCAGCTTCCCTGCTCTGTGCACAGCCAGCTCATGCCCACGCTGGACCAGTGACCATTCCCTGGCCAATGGGTTGCAGTAGAAGACTCCGCATGGTGATTGACAGGTAGGACTAGATTCACATTGTCAAGGTCTCTGTCCTCCCTACTCCCTCCTTACATTTTTAATGACACACTCCAGTGACATAACACAGGTCAGCGTTGAACTTACTGTCTTTTCTCCTTGACCTCCACAATGATGATTCTCAGGTGTACTACACCAAGGCCCCGGATTGTCCCCTTTGTCCTCTAGAGAAGTGTCCAGCATGATGAGTTGACAGACTGGGCACCAAGGCTTTGGAGCAGAGGTGACAGAGAAGGACAGTGACATGGCTGGGTCCCTGATGGCATCACTGACCCCAGACCACATTGACCATTCTGCTTTCTATATTGGACCCGAACATGTCCTCTCCTGAGGGACCTGCCATGCAACATTCATCCATATCCCATGGAAGCTAAATGTGTCCCCACACACTCTTCTCACACTCATTATCTAGGACAGATTCCGGAGTGGAGTGTGGATTCTGCCATCAAAAATCAGGGTTTCCTCACAGCCTGCTGTACACTTCCCACACCAAATGTGCCCCGGGGACAAAAGTGTCCAGTACCAGGTATCACCAAGGTCAGGTGGGACACCCAGAGACAGACGAAGACAGAGTGTCTTAGAGTTTCTACTGCTGGGATGGAGGAAAGGGGTTGTCAGGCAGATGTGTCCCTGGTCACAGTCCACTGAGGGAAGCCAGGGGAGGACTGAAGCAGAGGGTATGGGGAAACACTACACTCAGCCTGACCTCTTATACAACCCAGCACTATCTGCCTAGGGATGGTACCGCTCACAGTGGACAGGCCTACCCACATCAATCATTACTCAAGAGAATGCCTGACATCCACGCTTAGAAGCCAATCTTATGATAACGTATTCTCAGTTGAGAGTCCCTCTTCCCTAATGACGCTAACTCGCATCAAGAAGACTATCATCAAATAAACAAATGAATGAATAAATCAGTAAATAAAAATAAAATCACCGGGACACACAGACACACAGAGAAAGTAGAGACAGACAGAGAGACAGAGACAGAAAACCCGAAGCAGATGGCTCAGCCAGTCAAATGCTTCCCACAACTCATAGCTAATCAAGGTTTTCAACTTGACACCTGGAAAGAGGGATCCTCACCTGAAGAACTGACTCCATCAGGTCGTTCTCTGGGCAGAGCTGTGGGGCATTTTCATGGCTATTAATTGACATGGGAGGGCTCAGCCCACTGAGGGCAGCACTATCCTCAGACATGTGGGCCTGAGTTGTATAAGAAAGGGAGCAAGCCAGGGAAGAGATGTTCCTCACGGTCTCTGCTTCAGTTCCTGCTTCCAGGATCCTCCCCATAAGCTGAAGAAAAAGACACTTTTCTTTCCCAACTTGCTTTGGTCATGGTGTTTATCTCCCTAACAAATAGTAAACTAGAACACAGCATGCAGGCATGACCATGTGAGTTTGATCACAGAACCTACATTTAAAAAGCGAGGTGTGGCAGAGTGGGATTGTCATCTGGCCACTGTGAAGGTGGGGACCAGAAGATGCTGGGATGGAGATGCCACTCCATCTGGCTGAGTCCCCAACCTGTAGGCCATTGAAAAGCTCTGCCTGTTGGGGGCAAAATGGGGTAGGGTCAGCACAAGACCTGGAGGCAGGTGGCTGCCTTGGGGACAGAGGCAACAGGACCTTTGTTAGTTCAAGGCCAGCCTGAGCATGGCATCCTTTCTTAAAAACTGAAACTAAAAAAATGCTGGATCCTGTGACACACACCTTTAATCCCAGCACAGGGAAGGCAGAGGCAGGTATGAAGGGACACCAGCCCACTAGGGCATGTGGCTCTGACAGGCCTTGCCCTTCTCCCACATTCCCTCTGCCTTATGAAAGATTGTTAGATTATATTCTTTAAGCTATTCATCAAAGCCTATTCCCTTATTTGGCAACTTCCTGCTCCTGAGGCTGACTACCAAAGTCCAGCAATCAAGAACCCCTTTGGTTCACCTGATTAACATGCTCAATTAATATTAAACACCTCATCCTATCTCGGGTTTCCCCAATCTACCTTTATAAACTCCCATTTTCCTATGGGCCACCTCTGTCTCCCCTCTATACAGAGGCAGTCCTTTGTCTTTCTG